CAGGATTTCGGGAGGATTTTGTGCTGCAATCAGATCAATACTGTGTGCTTTGCCTGTGTGGTCAGAAGAAAAGAGTAACTGTTTGGGAACTGGAATAAGGCAGAAAAAACCCAGAAAATGACAACTGATGGAGAGGGCATAAACCGGAAAATGCCCATTGCTGCCAATGTCCATAAAATGTACAAAAATTTGCATCTGTTTTGGATTAGTAACAGATGGAGCTGTTAGGTAATAGTAAAAAAATAATCAAGTGTAATCCAAGAGATATACGTTGGAGTGACTTGGAAAGTAGACACACTGCATTCAACCCTCAGCTGCCCAGGGCTAGGGTAGGTGATAGAAGGAGAAGGGGCAGCTTTTCATGCTGCAGTAGTTTAAGAGTCACTCAGTCATCAGGGCATGGTGGCTCACGCCTGTAATCCCAGCACTTTGGGTGGCCGAGGTGGGTGGGTAATTTGAAGTCAGGAGTTTGAGACCAGCCTGGCCAACATGGTGAAACTCTGTCTCTACTAAAAATACAAAAAATTAGCCAGGTGTAGTGGTATGTGCCTGTAATCCCAGCTACTCAGGAGGCTGATGCAGGAGAATCGCTTGAACCCAGGAGGCGGTGGTTGCAGTGAGCTGAGATCACACCACTGTGCTCCAGCCTGGGTGACAGAGCGAGACTCCGTCTCAAAAAAGAAAAAAGTCACTCAGTCACATGTTGGGCCAGGTAAATGACTCAACAACTAAGTATGTTTTCTGTGCCACATACATGGGCTTGTCATTGATAGGAATTCCTATTCTGAATTCCCTTTCATAAAAAGTGCCCCATGATTGGAAGAAGGGGCCCGTTCCCTGCAATGCCCACCCAGGTGCCGCCTCCTCCAAGGCACCCCCCGTTCATTCTTTGCTCTCCCACACCTGGCTTGACTAGCCACTGCCCCTTGGCTTCCCTTGTTGGGCTGGGGCTGTACCAATAGGTTTTTTAGTGTCAGTACTGGCAGGTGAAAGTGACAACATTTTGTTGTCATGAAGGACAGCAAAACCTCAAGCGCTGAGCAGGACAGTACAGCAAGCCCGGCCCCGCTCCTCCCTGGGGCAGTGAAGCCTGGCAGCAGACACCCTTGCTGCTTGAGCTTTTACTGCTGATGAGGCCTGAGTCATGCACAGAAAGTCCCTGACAACAAAAACCACAGGGATGTGTTTTTCTGAGTAGTGTGAAATCCCCTCTAGCAACCACTGATGACAATTGTTGGAAGCCAAGTTTTTTTTTTTTTTTTTTTTTCAAAGGAATAGGATATCTAGATTCAAGAGCTGAACAGAGGGTGTGGTGACTCACACCTGTAATCCCAGCATTTTGGGAGGCCGAAGCAGGAGGATTACTTGAGCCCAGGAGTTTGAGACCAGCCTGGGTAACATAGTGAGACCACATCTCTACAAATAAAAATTAGCTGAGCATGGTGGCACACACCTGTGGTGCCAGCTATTGGGGAGGTTGAGGTGGAAGGATCACTTGAGCCTAGGAGTTTGACACTGCAGTGAGCCATGATCATGCCACTGCACTCCAGCCTGGGCAACAGAGTCAGACCCCATCTCAAAAACAAAACAAAACAAAACTGAGTGGAGGTTGCACAGTGACCATGAAAACTCCTATTTCTGTATTCATATTCAGAAATCCTAGTGAGAAAAGGTGGAGAGTCCCAGAACAGGGATGCCATCTTGATCTGAAATTTTCCAAATGTTTATGTCTAGATAGAGAGCTCTGGCGATGGCCAAATTATTTTATCACTTGCTAGTTGTGAACCTTGAGCTACTTGCCACCTTTCAATTACAGTTTCTCATCTATAAAATGGGAATAATAATGATTCCTACCATGCAGTAGTGAAGCTTAAACAAGATGACACATCTGATATATGGCATAAGATAGAAACTCAATAAATGTTATTTATCAGTACTATGATTTCGGGGAAACAGAATATTTTCTAATTACTACACATTTTCTAGCTGTTATATGGATAGTTGCTTTTATTCAGAAAAAAAATAACCTTCATGCAGTGCTTTTATTTCCCTAGGGGCTATTAAAATGTCTAATCCTATTATAAGGACTTCTGCTTTCAGCCTAATAGATACACTCAGAAATGGAATGGACTCTGGGGCAGATAGGGCTATGGATGTAATGACATCAGGTACATAATGAAGCCCACTTTGGCAGATCTGAAAATACCCTCTGCCCTGTCTAAACCACTTGGCAAGTCCAAATCAATCAAGCTACACAGCCAATAAATAATTTCCGGGCTCTTAAGTCTGTTTTCATTAAGTCCTTAGCAATAATGTATTGAGTTCCATATGGGAAATGTTACATGCTAGCTGCTTTGGGACTGTATAAACATGTGTAAGACACAGTGTGGTGATCCTCAGGAGAGTACAGATAGTAAGAAAAATATTACATGAGAAAACAACCACAATAAAAGTAAATGTGAAAACTGCTACAAGAGTTAAACACAGGAGCTCAAATACTTCACTCTCTTCCAAAAAAGATGTGTGGATTTTGCTGGGTAATTATGCATTGAAGAAAAAGGACCTCAAGGAGGAGCCAGTGGCATAAATAAAAGTGTAAAGATGATCTGTAAAGATCTATAAAGAAGGGAAGAAAACAGCCTAAAAAGGCTGAGAATACCCAAACTCAGAACGCCTCTCCCTCTACAGGGGATCACAGTTCCTCATCAGCAACAGAACAAGGCCTGATGGAGAAAGACTGTGTTCCATTAGCAGAAGCAGACTTTAAAAAGTGGATTATAAGAAACTTCTGGGAATTAAAAGAACTTGTTCTAACCCAATGCAAAGAAACTAAGAACTTTGAAAAAAGGTTTGACAAAATGTTAAAAATAACACACAATTTAGAGAGGAATATAAGTGAATTAATGGAGCTGAAAAATACAACACGAGAACTTCGCGAACTATGCACAAGTTTTAACAGCCGAATTGATCAAGCAGAAGAAAAGATATTAGAGGTCGAAGACCAACTTCATGAAATAAAACAAAAAGACAAGATTAGAGAAAAAAGGATTAAAAAGAACGAGCAAAATCTCCAAGAAATATGGGACTATGTGAAAAGACCTAATCTATGTTTCATAGGTGTACCTGAATGTGACGAAGAGAATCAATCCAAGCTGGAAAATACGCTTCAGGTTATTATTCAGGAAAACTTTCCCAACCTAGCAAGGCAGGGCAATATTCAACTCCAGGTAATACAGAGAACACCACAAAGATATTCCTCAAGAAGACCAACCTCAAGGCACATAATCGCCACATTCACCAGGGTTGAAATAAAAGAGAAAATACTGAGGGCAGCCAGAGAGAAAGGTCAGGTTACCCATAAAGGGAAGCCCATCAGACTCACAGCAGATCTCTCAGCAGAAACCCTACAAGCCAGAAGAGAGTGGGGGCCAATATTCAACATCCTTAAAGAAAAGAACTTTCAACCCAGAATTTTACATCCAGCCAAACTAAGCTTCATAAGCGAAGGAAAAATAAAATCTTTTGTGAACAAGCAAGCACTCAGATTTCATCACCACCAGGCCTGCTTTACAAGAGCTTCTTCATATATATTGTTATTAATTCTGAATTTAAATCGACTAAATCCCGCAATCCAAAGACACAGACAGGCAAAAAAAGCCAAGACCCATTGGTATGCTACATCCAGACCCATCTCACATGCAAGGATACACAAAGACTCAAAACAAAGGGATGGAGAAAAATTTACCAACAAAATGGAGAGCAAAAATAAATAAATAGAAAGCAGGAGTTGCAATTTTTGCTGATAAAATAGACTTCAAAGCAACAAAGATCAAAAGAAGCACAGAAGGATATTACATAAAGATAAAAGGATCAATGTAACAAGATGAGCTAAAGATCCTAAATATATATGCACCCAATACAGAAGTACCCAGATATATAAGACTTATAAAGAGACTTGGACTCCTGCACGATAATAGTGGGAGACTTACAGATCAATGAGACAGAAAGTTAACATCGATATTCAGGACTTGAACTCAGATCCGGAACAAGTAGACTTAATTAACATTCATAGAACTCTCCACTTTAAATACACAAAATATACACTCTTATCAGCACTACATCACACGTATTTACAGGTTTAAATGAAATATTGGTTGGCTACTTGTTAATTATTTTCTTCCCTCATTTTTTTTTATGTCTCTATTATTAAACATAATTACAGACATACCCATTTTTAGACTGCATTCTAGCCCGGGCAATAAAGCAACACCCCTGTTCTCTCTCCCTCTTCCTCTTCCCCTTTCTTCCTTTCCTTCATTCTTTTTTTTTCTTTCTTTTTCTTTTTTTTAAATCTTTTTCTTTCTTTCTCTCTTTCTTCCTCTAGAAAAAAAAATGGAAACTCATCATTCCTTTTTCTAATCCTTCTCTTACATTCTTTAGGCTACTCTAGTCAAAAAAAAAAAAAAAAAAAAAAAAAAAAGAAAAGTGTAAAGATGCTAAAAATAATTTCAGTAATAATAAAAATAACTGACTTACATTTCATACGATGTGCCAAGTAACATATGTATACATCAAGTCAAATGGACACAGCATAGGTAAGTGCTAGGTAAAATATATGCATATTATATATATGCAAATATATATTTAGATCAAATGGATGTTAGAGAATGTGTTGTAAGGTAGGCAAGGGATTAAGCTGCAAAGTAACCTGTGGTTAAAAAAAAAAAAAAAGGATTTCAAAGTCTTCTGAAATGTCAGAACTCCCTACCAGGAATACAGAGTTTTCTGAAACATGGGTGACCCTCTGGCTGTGGCATCTGGTGGCAGATCTGGGATTAAGAACTTCACAACCGTCCTCTGAGGGAGGTGGTGAGTGCACTGTTATGTCCACTTTGCAGGTGATCAGAATGAGGCACAGGACTTTAGTCCACTTCAGAGCTGGAATTAGTATACACATCATACTTGGCTGACTTCCAGTGCTGTTCTCCTCTCATATCCAGGTTCTTACCCAGTGGCTCTGCAGCACCTCATGTTGTTGATTCTAGAATGAAACAGACAAAACTTTGATGTCCAAAGATCACATAACAGGTAAGTGGCAGCAAGCCCAGTATGCTTGGGCTACTTGTACTGCATGTAAATTGCAGAAATGATAGTGGTTGAGGTTATGTAATATTTACTTGCAAGGAGTGATAGGGTTGGCTTTAAAGGACTTGGAAGAATACAAGAATCTGAGTGCTAATAATTCATCAGACATATAATTCCAAAAGTGGGAGACACTTTGAGACCATATCTTATTTCTTTATTTTACTAGTGAGAAAACCAAAGATCAAAGAGATCAGATGAACTGCCAAAGCCATACAAAGAGTGAGTGGGGCAGGCCCATGCCTCTTTACTCTTGGGCCAATGGGGACTGCGGGTCTAGGCAATTGGTCTTCTAGAAGAAGCATTCAAAGTGGCAACAGATGAGTTGGGAACTGGAAGGGTGGGTTAAGCACGGCCCTGTGTGTGCAGAGGGGAAGCTGGTCCTAGAAAAAAACTCCAGAACATTTGCTAGAATAGGGATATAAATATGAAATCATAGAGCATCCTACCTCCTCCCTGAGATACTGCCTCTAATTTTACAAAATTTCTCTCTCGATGAAGACGTAGACAAAGGTAAGTAGCCTTGAGTATGCTTGATTTTTCAACCCAGCATGATAGAAACGTCAACAAATTTTATTAGATTTAAATGGGATTGATTGAATTAAGTTCTCTACCTAAGAAAAAGTGTGAGTTCGGTGTCATACATTAAAATTTGGCTTTAGGAAGAATGAGATCATGTTCTTTACAGGGACATGGGTGGAGCTGGAGGCCGTCACCCTTAGCAAACTAACACAGGAACAGAAAACCAAATACTGCATGTTCTCACTTATAAGTGGGAACTAAATGATGAGAATACACAGACACAAAGAGGGAAACAACAGATGCTGGGGCCTACTTCGGAGTGGGGATGGGCAGACAGAGGATCAGAAAAAATAACTGTTGAGTACTGGGTTTAGTACCTGGGTGACAAAATATCTGTACAACAAACCCCTGTGACACAAGTTTACCTACATAACAAACCTGGCTGGGTGTGGCAGCTCACGCCTGTAATCCCAGCACTTTGGGAGGGATCCAAAGCTTGGTGATTCCTAGGTAGGTTGAAGAGACATGTAACTGTTCTGGGAAAGGAATAGAACAGGACGTTTTGCCACTTGAAGTTTTCCCCCTCTGTGCCCTGAAAAAAAAAAAAAAAAAAAAAAAAAAAAAAAGGAAACAAAAAAAAAAAAAAAAAAAAAAAAAAAAAAAAAAAAAAAAAAAAAAAAAGAAAAAAAGAAAAAAAAATGGTGTGGAATCCTTGCGGCTTCAGAGAAGCAAGAAACTAAGGTCTAAACTTTGTGTTTGAAGTGAGGATAACTTTATCTGGATGACTTAAAGATCTATTGGCAAGAATGCAAACTAAGTCTCCCAAGGAGAAACCTACAAGGAGTGGGGTCAATTGCTCTGTTGACTGTGGTGCAGCCAAAAGCCTTTGAGTGTTAGCCGGGGAGGGCTGGTTCAGGTTCTGCAGATCCAGTTTCTGGCAGTAGAGCTGGAGTCAGCATCACTAACTAGTGCACTGACCAGACTTTCCAGTTTTTTGTCTCTCCAAGCGTTCTTGTACAGAATAAACCCTTTGGAATGAATAAGTCCATACTGTTCTTGGACCAGGCAGTAAGAGGGAACCTGAATAAGGTTATACCAGATATTTTTCTAAAAAACAAATTGTGGAAACTGAAAAAATTGAGGGAGGAGGCATACCAGAGAAAGAAATGTGATTTTATTTAAACTACACGCTGAAAAATGTGACCCATCTCGGCTACCTATGGATGTCATTAGTTGGGCTCATCTGCGGATACATTCTGAGATTCTCTAGTTCAATATTTGGAGGTGCACATGGACTTGAAACATGTTGGTTGATACTATGCTGAAATGGGCAGCCTGGGAAGGATTCTGTGCGGGGCATGCCAGGAGCTTTGTGACTCTCCAGGGAGCAGCTGCTAGAGGGAAACTCTTCTTGCTCTTTTTCCACAGATACTGGCTTATTTTAGAGGAGACTGTTTTCAAACAAAAATGGCAGAAAGGACCCCTTTGTAACACGAGCATTTCTTTAGGGGAAATGAGCCTCCCTGTGACCTAGTACTTAAGAGCTGCCTCCATGATGATTTTCTCTGGACCTCACAAATGCCACTTCTTTTGACAGTTCAGGTTGAGTATTAACAGAAACCTATGTGTGAGTAACACGTAACCACAAATATCATGTTGTCTAGTTAGAGGATAAATATATACAATTATCCCCTGTAATTAAGGTCACAGGGGAAATGTAATAAAAGTTCAATTATTTTGGCAAATTTGTTATGTCTAAACATGCATTTGCTTTTTATACTCTATGGTGTAGGCCCCATGAAGATGATTTAAGGTGTTGTGGTCTCTTCTTTGGCTAATTTATGTGCTCAGAGAATATGCATCTACTCTGACCTCACCTGCTAACTTGCAAAGTGGCTTTTCTATTCCCAGAAATTCATAGCTGTGTGCAGAATAGCCTTTGAGACTTAGAGGTAGATAAACAAGTTGGTTTTCTTCACTCCCATATTAAACCTGTGTGCGGCACTTTCTAGAGATGCTGCATAAAAGATAACTAAAGAGGTAGGAGGCTGAGGCGGGAGACAGCTTGAATCCGGGTGGCAGAGAATGCAGTGAGCTGAGATTGTGCCGCTGCACCACAGCCTGGGCGACAGAGCAAGAATCCATCTCAAAAAAAAAAAAAAAAGAAAGAAAGAAAGAAAGGAAAGATAACTAAACAGCTAACTGATAGGTTTTCTCTGTCGTTTCTTAAGTAATTACTTTTTGGGTGACTATGTCTGTTCATAGCTTAGAATCACTCAATAGGTTAAGTGAGTGTGTGGAAGTAAATGAAATCTCATTCATGGAAATAAACTTGAAATATTGAACTGATGATGCATGTGGCTAGACAAATACACTTTGCAAACCAGCTAAAGTTTTGAGCTTCTCATTGAATAGATCCGTTTCACTTTAACTGTGCTTTTCATGCCAAGGGCTGTTAGCCGGGTTTCTGACAGATGTCAGCAATGCAACTTAATACAAATGCCTGAATGATCCTTCCTCCTGGCTGTGCTGCAAACCGTATCAAGTTTCTGATGCCCAGACCAGAATACTTAACAGTTCTTTTATGCTCTCCATGTCATTTAGTTTAACACAAATTCATATTCAGAAGATTTAGCTATATATGCTGTGACTCCTTAGAAAACCTGAAGACCTGATGACCCTTAAAACCTAAACAGGCTCTAAACACTGCTATGTTATAGAGTGCAGGACCTGCAGGGACAGGCAGGTCCCAGGTTACCTTTTGTGACCAAGGCCACATATATAGTGACCTTGGCCCCATGTATTGACTATGCCTCATGTCATATTTGGGCCTCTGAAAGTCAGCTGCATTCCCTGGTCAGCCTCAGGACCATATCACAGGATGACGTAGCCAAGAGATACATGAGGACCACCAGTTCCCATGATGTTGGCTCTGCACACTCATGCGACACCATTTAAATAATTCACGGAAATCTATCCCCTCTTCCCAGGAGTTGAACTTCTGCAGCTGGCAGACTCCCTGCATGTTTCCTGGGAAGAGCTCAGGGACATGAGAATTCATTTAGTGGAGCGTAACCCAGCTCTTAGCCTCCATCCCACAGATCCACACACTGGAGTAGGGGAGAGGCCACAGGTGTTGTCCGGAAAGGTGAAGGGCCAAGCACAGCGTCCTTGAACTGCATCCTGGACCTGTGCTGACCATTCCACCCCCAAGTAATTGTGGGATGATGTGTTCCCTTCTTTATAGGCAAAGTGGGTTATGGGAATTATTTTATGAAAAGTACCTGGGAGTGTTGCCAAGCTCATTTTTGGTTCATTACACCATCTATTATTAATACATCATTATCACATAACGATTGTGTGCTCTGATCTTTCCCTCATGTCTAGTCTGATGGTTTTTCTCTGTTTTTGCGTGTGCAGGCAGTGTAACTGGATCATGGCTCTTGCTGAGTTCAAAATTTATCTTCTGAATATCAGCAGAAAGACTCTTTCTGGTGAATGAATGCAGATCTTCTGAGCAACTATTGATTGACTTTGTCATTAGACTCACTTTTCAAAACATAGTAAAAAAGAAAAAGAAAATTAATATTATGTGGTTAAGTCTTAGCAACTGGGAAGAAACGTAAGGTGAAATGAAATGGTAACGGTAAATGAATGGGAAGAACCTGGGAGAAGGTAACCATGATAATCATAATGAACCTGATAAAAAGAGAGAATAACACAATATATAGTAATAATGAGAGGAAAAGGTAGGTCCAATAGCATGACTACAGGCTTTGAAAAGTAAAGACAGCTCAAAAGGAACAAAATTCTCAAAACATTCTAATTGTACAATCCTAGATCACCTTCATAGGAGGACAGTTTAAGAAACGGGCAGCCGGAGAGGGCTGGCTGTCTATTTTTAGAAAGAATTTGGCCACAAAAAGGAAGTATCAGCACAAAAAGACGAGTCCATTTCTACCTACACATGAGGGGTAGTGTTTTCCAAAAAGACCAAAATGTGGCGTAATTTTATCCACCTTTGTAACTCCAGTACCCACTATAAGTGTGAGGCCCCCACAAATGCCTACCATTGATTCTGTAGTTCGGAGAGTTTGCTCCCAGGTTCATATGAGAAGGTATGGCTGTATGGTATCTGGGATTTGCTTCAAAACAATCCAGGGAGGAGACAGATGAGGTGAGGGTAATGATGAAATAATACTGACCACAATTTGATATATTTACAGCTGGGTAATAAGTACTAAGGCGTTCATTACTGTATTATATCTACTCTTGTATGTTTGAAATCAAAATCAAACCATATCTCTCAATTTAAAATAGGGTGTAGTTTGCTAAAAAAAAAGTTCCACTTGAAATATATAAATGCAGATCTTTAAAAAAGAAACACACCGGATCAGAAAAAGTAAAACCCTTAGGAAAGGGCGATTTGAATTGAAGCATAGGTCACACATTTGATTTGCAGTGGAGCGAAGCAGCAAATCTGGTACTCGGGAAACTTACTCTGGTAACTCTCTGGGAAAGACAGCTCTGTTTTGTGGCTGACTTTCAGTCAAAGGGCATGGGTGTCAAAGGGAGCTCAGTGTTTTCTGGGTCTCTAGAGGGGAACCAATCAACCAAAGTCATACAACAGTATATGTTTACTGAAAACAAAAACTTTCCATTCAGTTGGGGCTATGGAGCTATACAAGGGGCTTTTCTCAAGGTTTTAGGCAGACCAGGTGTGGATGAATGCACTAGTAGAAGTTTGATGGCCACCGGGTAGGGATGCTGCAAAGAGAATTTCTGTATCAGCTCAGAGCCTGGACTAAACGACCTTGAAGCTCCCTTCCCACTGCATGATGCTCTAATTCTGCAATGAGATGATCCTTCCTGTTTAGGCACATAACTCATAACTCTTGTAGGAGGCATGTCATTTGTCACACATCATGAGTACCCGATTTAAAGAAAAACACACTTGATTTTCAAATAAAAACTTAGATAGTCCTTTACCAACAAGAAACTTAAAGATTCAAATTATTAATGCTAAATAACTAGTGTTAGTAAGTTGGGCTTTAATCCACTTATACCGAATCCCTAGAAACAGTAAGGTGTTTGGATAGTAAGGGAGGCCAAGGCCTGTGCAAGTGCTGAGTGCTTGGATGGGCTTGGTGCCTCCAGCCTCTCTCCTCTCTTTCCTGGGAGCTGTTCATGACATGCTGCCTTCGAGTTGTTCTTCCTGCATGGAAAACAGCTAGAAAGGTTTGGATGCCCACCTTGCAGAGTCATTTTTGAACTTAAAGCAACATGCAACCAATCCCAGTGATTTTTCTTTAAGCTTTATTCCTAACTGCAGTACAAAGATTAATTTTTCTCAAAAAATGAATTCTTGTGTAAACAAACAAATGGATCTGAGGGCAGGGGTGAGCATTCTGAAATGGCACAGTATAACCAATGTAGGTCAAAGGCCTCATGGCCTCAGACTGAAGGTGCCCACTTTTCAGGACCTCAGCTAGCCTTGCAATGCATGATTGGGAAGGATATGGTGCTAGCCCTCCAAAGATCTGGAAGGGACTCCGTTCTGTCCCATGATATTATTACGCTTTCTCTCTTTCTTCTCCAGTTGTCAATGACATGAATCTTTGCTCCTTTCTTCATGGAATATTTCTGATCTAATAGCCCCTACATTTCAAATGATGGATATAAACACCAGATGAGTATTACAGGAAAGCTGGATTGCTCTGCAGTGAGTGAAATATGGAAAGGCCTTTCCCCACCAAGCAGCAGGCCAAATTGTAACAGGAAGATGAATTTGAAATAAAATGGTTCATAGATCAGAGGTGATGCTGCCTTTTTTAAAGCATGAAAGTGTTCCTTCTGCAGAATGAGGCTCAAGCAAAAGAGAAACATGAATAATTTGATATTTATTTATTATGTTATAATCTGCTTTAATCCATTAAATGTATATGACATATATACACATGTATAGATGATACAGCAATATGATTCTTTAAAAGGCTACATATTTAATATGCTTTGACTATTGACCCAGAGCAAATCTGGCTTGTTCCTGCTGATAAATCATCCCCAGCCCTTAAGCTCTGTAGAGCTGACTTTAAATAGGCACCTGGTCTCAGATTTTGCTGGATTTCCGGTGTGACAGAAGGAAGGGCACTGTACTTGTTACTCAACTGCGTCTCCTCTTTCACATTTCAGGCCGTATATTTCCATTAATTAACGCACACTGTCTTCAGCTCACTCCTCCATCTTCCTTTCAGCACCTGGTTCACAATTTTGCTTCCCACACCACCGCTGACAACATCCTTGTACTGGTCAGTTTATGAGCATTCTGGCACCTTACCATTGAACATATAACACCCTGTGTGGAAGTTTTTGTAAATACATCTTCATCTCCCTGCACATTATAGTACCTTGAACTTGGCATTTCCCATGCAGAAACCATACTGAGGCACTGTGGGTAACTCAAGCTTCACAAATATTTGCTCTGACCCAATGTGTGGCAGGGCAACTTTCATCTCAGATTCACCATCCTTACCATTCCTGCCACCTTTATTCCTCCCTGGAGTCCAGCATCTACCAAGGCTGTGCTAGTGGAAGAGGGCTTTTGAAATGCAATCAGGCTGAGAGGAAGATGCATTTTTATTTTATGAAAGTTCAGGAGAAATTGGCCGGATGCTAATCTCAGCGCAACACATCTGCATATCCCTTTGTCTCTCCCAGAGGCCAGATCACTATGAGGGCTCTGCTGTCTTTGCCAACCTTCAAGTAATCAGTGGCTCTTGTCCAGCAGTGGCTCAAACTCCTGGCCATTCACCCCAGGGACAGAAGCCAGTGGAGGAAGCAGTGATTGTTATTTACTTTTCTTTGGCAGGTGGTGATCAGATGGGCGTAAAAGATGAAAAAAAGAGAGAATGCATGGCAACAAATGGTGCTGCTCTCTGTGCAAAAACTAAGGCCCTATGACCATGAATGGAGCCAGAGGGAAGGTTGGAGCAGGTAAGGGACATTATTTCCAAATCACCATTCCCCTTTAGACTTTGAATGTTTTTGGTGTTTCATTAAATATTGTTACAGGTCCTCTAAGATTCCACATAAACATTTAGCCAGCCAACAGTTAAGTCTACCTCCCATGGCAAGTGATGAATGTTGAGATGCTAATCGTGAATGGCACAATCTCAAGGTCTAGGTAAAGTGCAATGTTGGACAAGAAGGGACTGAGAAAGGAAAAGAAGACATTTCCAGAAGAAGGTGCCAAAGTAGGGCTCCAGGCCAATCTGTTGAAAGCCAATTTATTAAAATTTAACTTAATGAATGACCAATTTACTAACTCATTGAGGAATTTTGCTTGTGAGTTTGTGTTTAGTTCCTACCCCTGCTTCTGAACATGACCCTGCCTCTGTAACAAAACTGTCTGGGCAAACTTCAGAGACAGGGACAGGGTGAAGATGGAAACAAAACTTTCTAAACGTCCTTATAATTTCACAAATTGGGCATTTGGCAAATTGTTTTTCAGTAAATTGACTCGCTTCCCCAAAGCACGGCTACCCTCTCATTGTGTCTGTTTTCTAGCACAGGTTCCTGCTGCTTTCACATGCAGTTAAAATAAGGAGGGATGACATTCCCAAGGGCATGCACATATGCACACCACAAGGTGACATGTGCACACCCGCACACAACCCACTTCCTGGGTTTCTGTCACAAGGTGAAGAAAGCCTTCTCAGAAGTCATCCCCTTCCTTCACGCTACAGTCTTGCCTTACGTTAGGCTACCTTGGGAAAAAACGTCACCAGAATTCTGGTGCTCAGACTTTCAGAGCATGGTAGGTCTTTAAGTCATAATAATTGGGTAATCAAATTTAAGACTAATTCCGACCTGGATCCCCTCTCTCTAATTTTCTTGGCTGTAAATCTATTCAGGCTGCTCTAAAAACAAAACAAACAAACAAGAAAACCCATACATCGAATGGCTTATACGCGAGAGAAATTTATTTCTCACGGATCTGGAGGTTGGGAAGTTGAAAATGAAGGTGCTGGCAGAATTGATGTCAGGTGAGAGCTCACTTGCTGGTTCATAGACAGCTGTCTTCTTACTGTGTCCTCAGCCAGTAGCTGGCAAGGGAGCACTTGGGGGCCTGTTTTAGAAAGGCACTGATCCCATGCTCCACTCTTGTGGCCTAATTACTTCCCAGCCTTACCTCCTGATACCATCACATTGAGGATTAGATTTCAACATATGGATTTTGGGAGAACACAAACAGTTAGTCCACTGCAGGTCCAGAGTGCCCATAAAAATATCCATCTATGCAAGGGACATTACTTCAAGTCTTAAATATGCCACACTCCACCACTACAGTTCCCTGGTTTCTTTACTGCTACTCACTCTTAGTTCTTTGTTGATTACATCAAAATTGAAGACCTTTGGAAAGATCCTTAAAGGAGTCTGAAAAAAATCAAGAGAAAAAGGCACAGGAATGCAAATTAGAACAACAATAAAATACTATTTGTAACCTATAAAATTGTCAAAGCACATGAAAAGGAACTCTACTGGTATTGACTCCTAACCATTGGTGAAAATACAAATTGGCACAGTGCTTCTGGAAGACCATTTGCAAATACATGCTGAGTAGTTTTAAATATCCATTGATCTTCAATTTTTCTTCTAGGTATTTTTCCCAAGGAAATAGAAATGTATGCAAAAGTTATCCAAGTTTACAAGACTAAAATAGAAAATAGCTTTAATATCTATCCTTACTAAATTAACTGAATATATTTTGTTACATTCATATGACATGATATAGAAATACTATGCAAATATTTAAAATTATCAAAATATTTTAAGTGAAAGAAACAATAGATTGTTAATCTATATATAATACTATAACACTTTCTAGTATAGAATGTATAATGTTAGAAAAATACCATTACTTGATGTACTAAATTAAATAACAATTATAGATAGTTAAGAGATTATAAGTGCAGGTTATGCTTTTTTTCTAAATCTGTATTTTCCAAATTTTTAAGTTAACATGTTTTCAGTGAAGGAAGCCTGGTTTTGAATTCTTATAATTCTTTTAAAAATAATTTCATAATTTTCCTTATAACAAAATTAAGAAAGCAAAAGAATTTAAAAAGCAGCCTTATCTTCCTACCAGAAAGAATCCCATTGTCCCTTTTCTCTCTCTGTTAAGCACATATCTTCTCTAGAATACAGAAATATTCTAGAGATCATTGATGCATTTGAGGGAAACTGAAAACAAAACAAACAAAAGCATTAAATAGTAAAATAACAGCAAAGTGAAACTGATTTAAGACAATCAACAGTTTCCTATGTATTCTCTAAACATAAGCTTTCTCTCGCTTTGGTAGATAGAATGAATCTGGGAAGGGACTGGTGTCCTCTCCTCCTCCCTCCTTCTCCTCCTTTCTCCCTGACTCCCTTTTAAAAGCAAGTTGCATTGAACACAGCAGGGAGGTCTGATGGGAGACACTGGTGGGGCTCCTTGCTGCAGGATGAGGATGAAACACGCACAGCAGGGAAACATACACAATGCGCATCAAACCCCAGCACCGGGAAGGCACAGAGGGGCTGTTCAGGAAAGCGTGCCGATGATGACTTATTATTTAGTCTTAAACCAAAAAGCAGGGCAGCCCCTTTTGGAAAACAAACAGGAGCAGTGAACCAGTGTCACCGGGTTCACAGGCAGCTGCCAGCTGCACGCAGCGGCAAGTCAACCAGAAATTCAACTAAGCAGTTTCCAGGATTTCATGGGAAGGATGACGATTCCTGAGAGTCCGTGCTCCCCTCTGGGGAAATGGGCCACTTGGGCCCCATATGTGCGGGTCTTTTCCGGACTCAGGCCTGCGTCAGCATCCCTGGCCCCGGAGCCTGCGCCCTCATCATTGCATAAGAGCCTGTGAGGCCTCGGAGCCCACGCGCTTGTCATCGGCACCCCCTGCTGGACCGTAGGGAAATGGCGCCTTTGCGGCCATCTCCTTGCCCCAGGCTGTAGGCTGTCTCCACGTTATTTTCTCCCTGTGCCACCACGAAAGAGGAATTTTCTACAGAGAAGGAAAAGAAATGAACCTTACCGCCGTAGCACAAAGCATAGCCTGGAGCCCCAGCCAATATATTATTTCCTTGGGAGGAACGGCTGATCTCAGCAGTTTATTCGCACGGGCTCCAGTCTTTTCCTTATACCCTTGCACCTGCATGATGGAGAGGCCAGGCCCCAGCCTGACAAAGCAGAGAAGGGACCAGATAGGATTTCTCAGTGCGTGGAGAAATGTGAAGGGGCAAGGTCTGCAGCCTTCTCTTGCTTTTAACTCGAATCCTGTTATAGAAGCAGAAAGACCCAGAGATGGCAGAGATGTCCTAAATTTCCTTCTTCCCTGTTTACTCCTTTAAACAACCCAGCAAACTGCCTGTCACATCTCCAGAATTCCATCGGCCTCCCTTGAAGTGTAAGTTGTTACCCTCACCTGGCCATACACATTTTAGAGATATTCAGACCTGCCTCAAAATCTTCTCTGCCCAAGCGTTAGAACTCCTGAGCTTGGTTGGGCGGCAGCCGCAGTTTCCCATACCACCATGCACACTCCCTAGAGAAAGGTGGTACCATTATTGTTCAGCTGAGAGAAAGTTAGTCATGCTACCGTCTTCCCTTTGTTCAGTTTGAGTCAGATGTGCTGCATGTGTTGCCTGAGCAGTGGCTAAATTCGTGGTCAGTGGGGCTGAGCAGAGAAGGAAGGGCTGTCAGTCATGGGCAGTCCAAGGGCGCAGGTCTGCTGGGGGGCTTTCCTGAAAGCAGCCCCTCTGAAGTGTTCAGGGTAGCCTTGCCTTTTAATTTTAGTACACATTATTCATGCTCTCCTCTTCTCATGATTCTCAATCTTAGCTGCACTTTCAAATCACCCAGGGAGCTTTTAAAAATCACTGATGCTCAGGCTCTGCCCCAGACTCATTCATTCGGAATCTCTGAAGATGGGACCACAGCACTGCATCTGTTTTTTATGTTATATTATTTTATTTTTTAGAATCTCAGATGACTATAATCATCAGCCAAGATTGAGAACCACTGCCTTCATCTCTCTCTATCCACCTTGTAGGGTGTGACCTTAAACAAAGTAGGAACTACTAAGTAATGTTTGATGAATGAATGAGTGAGTAAATATATGAATTAATGGATTAATGAATGAATGAAGCCTGGGAAGGACCAAAACAGATGAATAATCCTTTATGGCAAATATGGGGGAAAATGTGATTAATGAATTAATTACGAACTAAAAGTTAGCCATGCAACAAAAGCAGTCACCAAACTAGAGGTGGACCACTCAGTGGACAGGCTGAAGAGGAAGAGCTGGCTCTTCCTCTTTATTTAACATTGACGGGAAAAGGCCTCAAAGGAACCTGGGTTTATTGTTGGAACTGGTCTGGTAAAATTCTCTTTTTGGAAGACAGCAGGACAGGGAGGAGGCAGAGAGTGGGAAGTAATTGAACTCATGTAGCTGTCACAGAAGAGGATGGCAGTGTCACTTGTGTTTCAGGGAGTCAGGCCCAAAGCGGCCCTTGCTGTGCACACAGAGCATATAGAACTCACAGTGCCCTGGGGTGACAGGCAGAGGACAAGTTGCCATGTGCTTGGAGAAGGCAGGACACAAACCCACCAAAGAGGCTCAGGAACAAGAATGCATATGTGAGAAGTCTACGCAAGTCCAGTTTCTCACCCTAACTAGAAAATGAACTCTTTGAGACCAGAAATAATACCTTTCTCCAACCTTTTCTGAAAAGTTTCTATTTCTCCAAGTATATGGGAGGAGACTGAATTCTAAAATAAATGTGAGCAAGAGGGGAACCAACAGGAAAATTAAGGACAGCATATTAATCAGGGTTCTCTAGAGGGACGGGACTAATAGGATAGATGCATATATAAAAGGGAGTTTATTAAGGAGAACTGACTCACGATCACAAGGTGAAGTCCTACAACAGGCTGTGAGCAAGCTGAGGAGCAAGGAAGCCAGTCCAAGTCCCAAAACCTCAAAAGTAGGGGAGCCGACAATGCAGCCTTCCAACTGTGGCCGAAGGCCCAAGAGCCTCGGCAAACCACTGGTGTAGGTCCAAGAGTCCAACAGCTGAAGAACCTTGAGTCCAATGTTTGAGGGCAGGAAGCATCCAGCATGGGAGAAAGATGGAGGTCAGAAGACTCAGGAAGTCAAGACCTTCTACATTCCTCTGCCTGCTTTTATCCTAGATGTGCTGGCAACTCATTAGATGATGGTGCACACCCAGACTGAGAGTGGGTCGGCCTCTCCCAGTCCACTGACTCCAGTGTTAATCCCCTTTGGCAACACCCTCACAGACACACCCAGGGACAATACTTTGCATCCTTAAATCCAGTCAAGTTGACACTCAGTATTAATCATCACAGACAGAATGCAAATTCATGAGTTTGCAAACTGGTATAAGATTCATGCAGCGAAAGGTGGCAACCATCTGGGCCAGGATATGGCTAGAAAGAAGCCAAGTAATTAAGTCATACCCAGAAGGAAAATCAGTTACAGGGTAGGACTAGGTTGGCTCTCAGGGGATTGTGTCTCCAGGGTTTCAGCTCATCCGTTTTCACAAACAACTAATATGATTTCTCTTCTCACTGTTAGAGTCTCCGTATTCAAACTAGAATTAATAACAGAGTTTCTCTCCAAAGCTGGCACGAAGCAATGCATCTTATTGCCCACGACACAAAGGCTTGGTTTATAATTCTAAAGATTCAAATCTCTCCGTAGCTAACATTTCAAATGTAGCTGGTTTGCTGACTGCCTTTGAGTTGTCAGATAAAACCTAAAGTTCTGGGAGAAAGTTATGTTTCTACCCTGGGGGAGGCAGGGGACTTTTGGTGAGGTCTTAGATGCTCACACATATCCTTTAATTTGCCATACATTATTAGCCTGGTCCAGTCTAATTACATAATTCCTGTATTATTATAATACAAATTCTGGATGCTCATACGATGCGAAGCTTCTTCCTTTTCCTAGCATTGGCCTAACCAGGCCCGAGAGACCTGGGGGGAGGCTGGAAGCACAGTTGGCTTTCTCCCCACTTCCTGGTTACACGTCTGTCCTAACTTGCTGGTTACCTTTGAAAACTTTCTCTGGAGTTAGGTCCAGAGTGATAGAGTGATAGAATCTGGAGAAAGAATGAATGGTTGGAGGCTGGTACACTTGTCATTCATGCTGGTGCCCTCTGGCCAACTAGATGGTTAAAGCTCTCTGATGGAATATTGGTTGTGAATGTTTGGTGGTCCTTGACCTACAGCTCCCTGGAAGTGGGAAAGGTGTGTTGCCCATCATCTGGCAGTCAGCTAGGATGTCCAGCTCAGCCACTGAACTCACAGTATTCCACTCATCTCTTAGCAGCTGCTATGGGCTACATGTCTATGTTCCCCAGAATTCATATAAGGAAGCCTAAATCTCCCCAGGATCGTGGTATCTGCAGGTGGCACTTTTGGGAAGTAATTAGAGGTCATGCAGGTAGAGTCCTCAAGACTGGGATTAGTGTCCTTATAAAAGAGATGGATGAATGAATTAAGAAAATATGCATGCTCTCTCTCTCTCTCTCTCTCTCTATATATATATATATATATATATACACATATATATATATATACACATACATATATATATATATATACACATATATATATGGGTGTGTGTGTGTGTGTATGTATATATGTATATGTGTATATATGTGTATATATATATATATATATACACACACAAATATATACAATGCATTACATATATATGCAACAGACTATTATTCAGCCTTAAAAAAGAAGAAAATTCTGACATTTGTGATGACATCAATGAACCTGGAAAATATACTAAGTAAAAGATACAGAAAGACAAAAACTGTATGCTATCATTCATACATTTAATCTTAAAAAGTTAAACTCACAGAAACAGAAAGCAGAAGGGCAGAAGGGTAGTTGCCAGGAATGCTGGGGTCTGGAGGAAATGGGGAAATGTCTCTTAAAGGGTACAAATTTTTTCACTCATTAGATGAATACGTTCTACGGACCTAATATATACCATGGTGACTATAATTAATGTATAATTGAAATTTTCTAAGAGAATAGATCTTAAGCATTCTCATCACAAATTTAAAAAAGATAACCAAGTGAGGCGATGGATATGTTAATTCACTTCATTGTGACAATCTCTTGGTGACTTGGTTTGTATCTGTGTTCCCACCAAATCTCATGTTGAATTGTAGTTGGAGGTGGAGCCTGGTGGGAGGTAATTGGATCATGGGGCAGATTCTCATGAATGGTTTAGCACCATCCCCTTGGTGCTGTTCTTGTGGTGGTGTATTAGTCCATTCTCATGCTAATAAAGACATACCAGAGGCTGGGTAATTTATTTTAAAAAACGAACTTTAATGGACCCGCAGTTCCATGTGGCTGGGGAGATCTCACAATGATGGCAGAAGATGAGGGAAGAGCAACGTCCTGTCTTACATGGAGGCAGGCCAGAGAGCTTGTGCAGGGGAACTTTCATGGATAAAACCATCAGATCTTATGAGATGTATTCACTACCATGAGAACAGTATGGGGGTAACTGCTTCCATGATTCAATTATCTCCACCTGGTCACACCCTTGACACATGGGGATTATTACAATTCAAGATGAGATTTGGGTGGGGACACGGTCAAAGCATATCAGATGGTGAGTGAGTTCTCACGAGATCTGGCTGTTTAAAAATGTGCAGCACCTCCCGCCTCCCTCTCTCTCTTGCTCCTGCTCCTGTTATGTGAGGTGCCTTGCTCCTCCTTTGCCTTCCACTGTGGCTGGAAATTTCCTGAGGCTTCCCCAGCAGCAGAAGCCACCATGCTTCCTGTATGGCCTGCAGAACCATGAGCCAATTAAACTTTTTAAAATATAAATTACCTAGTCTCGGTTATTTCTTTATAGCAGTGAGAGAATGGATGAATACACTTGGCAATGTACATGTATTTCAAAACATCACATCATATACCATAAATATAAACAATGTTTCTTTCCAATGATAACTCAGTAAAGCTAGACAAAATAAAATGTGAATGAAGTAAAATGAATAGAAAGGTAAAAGAGGTAGACACAAGAGAGCTTGCCTTCTTGCTCTCCCTGTCTGCTCTCCACCATATGAGGATGCAATGAGAAGATGGCCATCTGAAAACCAGAAAGCAGGTCCTCACCAGTCATCTGATCTACAGGCACCTCCATCTTGGATTTCTCTGCATAGAACTGGAAGAAATAAATTTCTGCGCTTCACGCCACACAGTCTATGTGGTATTTTGTTAGAGCTGCCCAAGCTGACTAAGACGGGGTCATATTGTGGCTCCAGGCATTTCCCATGAGTGAGTCTTTTTTTCAGACTATGTCAAGTCAACTCCCCTCCATGTTCACACTTCTGAAAATCTCAGTCCTTTTCCTTGCTGGGGTGAGAGGAAGCCAGCCCTTTAATGCCTCTTGTTCTGCTATGTGGGGCTTATGCATGTGACCTCTCACCTTTTGACTTTGCAGATATCTCTCAGAATTTAGTCCATATATTCTCCATATTCCAGAACACACAGGTCAGACTCTCCCAAGAGTTTCTTTAAAACCTCTCTCACTTGGGCTTATGGGGCGAATGTACTTATCCCTTTCCCTATGTTGAGAGCATTCAGACAACACAAAAACTAACTTCAGATAAGTTCTCTGGACCTTTTCACCTAATTTCTCATAAAATTTGCAAGTGAGGTCTAGCACCTCACTTTAAAATATAAAGGGTTCTTGGCACCTGCTGTAATTTAAAAATATTTCTACAATTTTTTTTGAGGCAGAGTCTCACTCTGTCACTCAGGCTAGAGCACAGTAGCTCGATCTCGGCTCACTGCAACCTCTGCCTCCTGAGTTTGAGCTATTCTCCTGCCTCAGCCTCTCAAGTAGCTGGGACTACAGGCGCATACCACCACACCCAGCTAAGTTTTGTATATTTAGTAGAGACGGGGTTTCACCATGTTGGCCAGGATGGTCTTTATCTCTTGACCTCATGATCTGCCTTTCTCGGCCTCCCGAGGTGCTGGGATTACAGGCATAACCCACCATGCCTGGCCCTATACATTTTTTATACTCCTCCCTTTAAGAAGTGGAGTCTAATTCCCTTAACTTTGAGTATAGGCTGGTCTTGGTAAATTGCTTCTAGCAAACAGAATAAAAAGAAAATGATGTATGAGACTTCTAAAATTAGCTGGTAAAAGGCCTTTTGACTTCCTGCTTACTCTCTTTTTTCTCTTTTAGATCGTTTGCTCCAGGGGAAGCCAGCTGCCATGGCTTGCACACAGTCAACCCCCTGGAGAGGTTCCTGTGGTAAGGAACCAGGGCTCCTGGCAATAACTTCTGAGTGAGCCACCTTGAGAATGGATTTTCCAGCCCAGTCAAGCTTTTAGATGACTGTGACCTCTCCCAGTATCTTTACTCAACTTCTGGAGATCCCAAGCTACAACCCCTCAGTTAAGCTATTCCAAAATTCCTGACTCACAGAAACTGAGATACAATAAAGGTCACAGTTAAGCTCTTGATGTTCTATCTTATTCCATCAAATAGGAACTTCATCTTTTGAGAAGCACCAGGGAGAGCAGCCTATGCCTGGCGGAAGCTGCCCATGCCCCACTGATACACAGTACTTCCTGTTCTGCTCAGTACTCCTGCTTTTTTCTGCAAACAACTGTGATTCTCCACCTGGGAGCTTCCTCTGGCCACAGGAGCCTGCTTACCTGAATTGGACACCCCAGAAGTACTGGTGAGTTATAGCTTCCAGAAGCAGCTCTCTTCCAGTGAAGGAAAGGGCTGGCAGAAAATTACTTCAGCTGCCTCTGCTCGTATGTGGAGCAGTGTTAAGACACGCTCCACGCAGTAACTCAGGGCTCCCAGCAAGATAAAGCCCCACTTGTGCACAGTAGTAAGTTGCCCATGGATGCCGGCATCACCTTCCTTCCCTGCTGTGCCTCACTTCCCACTCCTCTGCCAGTGCTTCCTGGAATCATCTCCCTCATCAATCATCTGTTCCTAAATTCTGTCTGAGTCTGTTTCTGAGGAAACCCAACCTGAGTCATTATCCCTCTTCCCCTCTCACACTCGCTTCACTGGGGGAGGATGGATTAAGTTGATTGGTGACTTTGGGTGAAGGAGTTTGCATTGGGAGTATGTGACTCAGGTGAGGTTGGGCTCTCTTTCTTCAGAGCGAAGTGCATTCAGATTCGATATGTATCCTGTCTTCAGGAAGCCCTATGCTCTGCTCATCCAACAGCATGATTACGAAGGTACGCTCTGCCTTTGCAAGGGGAAGGCCTGAGATTTGCAGTTGGCAAGCTCAGTGGGAGCTGGATGTTTTATGTAACTTGACTGTGGATATAGATCAATCATGCTTTTCAATTCAGTCCTCCTCTCTCTAATAAACTGCTGTCATGAGCCCCATTTGGCTAATTGTTATCTAGTTTCTTAAGTTGTTTTAGTACTCAGGAAAGGTAAGAAACATCATTTTTTTTTTTAATTTGTGACCTAAATCTTCAAATACATATAAAACAGAGGAGGAATGAAAAGTCTAATTTAGAAGCAATTTCAAGTGACCAACAAAATTCGTTGTAGAACATTATGTATGCCAATGAGCAGTTTTTTGTTTATAAAAGGAAAACTCAGTAATCCTTAGTAAAAGATCGTGTTAGCTGTCTCAGGTAACCAAGTCCTATAAAAACTGAAAGGGGAAAATCGTTAACATGACAGGAAACAAGTGTGTAAGTCATGCATCTGTGCATCTAACGCTGTTAGCAGAACTCTGGTTCGTAGTTCTGGAATGATGTCAGAATTTTTAGCTTCATGAAACGAAACATTTCTTTTCTTGCTGTGAATTTCTTTTTTTTCACACAAAGAAAAGTCCGTCATCACAAGCTTCTGAGTACTTTTTAGTCAAGATGGTGTTTAGCATTTACTTTTTAGCTGCGTTAAGCTAAATCTACTGCGCTCCCAACCATCCCCACTACTATTTCTTCCCTATGATCAAATAATTAGATAAATAAATAGATGAAAGCTTTTTTGAAATAAAAAGAATGTTGCCCACTCAAAATTTACATTTTCTTTGAAAGAAATGGAATGGAAACGCACAGTAGAAGCTAGAGCGGAATCTGTGGATATATTGACTTCGGGGAACAGAAACAAGCATTTGAATTCTGTGGGGTGTTAGAGACCAAACACACCTTGCAGAAGGCAGGGAATAAAAGCCAGAGTCACGGTGCCAAACTGGATGCCTGGGAGGAATTCTCTCTCCTATACAAGATGCCTCAGTCAGAGTCTTATCAGGCTGAGAAAGGAGCCTGCTCACTGTCGAGGTCTATGATTTTTGGAAGCTGTAAGATATGGGCAAGGATGTGGTAAACCAGTACCTGGGACAAGCCACTTGCTTCCTCCAAGCACAGACCTCTGATTTCTCTGGTATAGTTTCTGGTAGGAACACTAGGCTGACAGGGTAAGATCTGGGACCAGTTAGAAGGAAACTGTAAAACTTCTATGCCACACGAGGAATGCTGAAGTCAGAGAGAGAGGGTAAGTATTTACATTCAAGTTAAGCCTGCAAACTAAAGTTCTACTGCTATCAAGGAAAAATATTGCTAAGAAAGGGATCCAACAAATTCAACATGGAAGCCCAACTATTTATTGTCAATGAGATGCAAGTAATAGAACACTCTGAATAATATCAAAACATAATTGTGGGCCAGGTACGGTGGCTCATGCCTGTAATCCCAGCACTTTGGGAGGCCAAGGGAGGCGGATCATCTGAGGTCAGGAGTTCAAGATCAGCCCGGCCAAAATGAAAAAACCCCATCTCTACTAAAAACACAAAAATTAGCTTGGCATGGCTGTAATCCCAGCTACTCAGGAGGCTGAGAGAGGAGAATTACTTGAACCCAGGAGGCAGAGGTTGCAGTGAGCCATGATTGTGCCACTGTGCTCCAGCCTGGGCGACAGAGCAAGACTCTGTCTCAAATAATAACAACAATAATAATTCTGTTTACTATCTAGACATTGTTTTAAGAACTTTACATGTATCATATCATTTGATAAAAGCAATAGCATTATAAAGTAGCTACCAGTATCTTCATCTCATAAATGAGGATACAGGGCAGAACGGTTAGGAAACCAACTCTAGGACTCACAACTTGTTACTGTGAGTCCTAGTGCAGAAATAACACATGCCACAAGAACAAGAAGTTATCAACAAGAAAGCATGAAATTAAAATATGAAATTGTGAAATTAAAAGAAAGAATAATAATAGGTGTATATGGAAAAGAACTCATTGTAAATAACATATATTTTTGAAACCATGGTCAGGAAAATATCCTCAGGAGAGGATAAACTTCAACTAGACATAGATGAAGGATAATTTATTGAAGTAGTAATGGGTAATTTACTTAGACTTTGGTGTGGCAAGATAAATCAAATATATGAAGCATATGTTAACGGTCATGGTGAATAGAAAGAGAGTCTCCAAATTGTATCTTATAGAAATTCAGACACTAGACACTTGAGAGAATGCCTAAGAAATCACTATTTGAAGAGGCATCAGTTGAGAAATTTCCAAAAGCAAACAGAGATGTAATTTCTTAGATTAAAAGCACATACTGAGTGCTGATCAGGATAAACAGAAATGTACTCACACCTATACATATTGGAATGAAATTGCAGAACAAGGATAAAGATAATATCTTAAAAGCAGCCAGAGAGCAAAAAAAAAATCATGTTATATACAAAACAAGATTAGACCGACGTCAGGCATCTTATCAGCAAAAGTGGATGCCAAAAGTCAATGAAGTAATATCCTCCAAAGGCCATAGGAATTCAGCCATCTCCCCAGAGTTCCCTCTGTGGTCAAACTCTCCTTCAAGGGTAATATAAGGTTTGAGGAAGTTTGCAACTGTGGACTTACTAAAATCATTAGCGAAGGGTTACTATTAAATGCTAATATAAGAAAAAATTCAGCCCAGAGGAAATGAGTAGAATTCCAAACAATGCAGTGAGCAGGAAAATTGTTTAAACATATCAGGAAAAGCTGAGCTGTGTGTATTCATGAGCTTTGCTAGTCTGTTAAAATGCTGATATGTAAGAGTCTTCAATTATACATCCCTGCAGGTTTTTCTGAGAGATGAAAGTTATTTTATTTAAAATTTACAATAAAAACTGTATTAGGAGCAATAGTGACAGAGAAATACAAGTGTGTTTATGCTACTGTTTTTTAAGGGAAAAGAGAATAGTTTTATACTAAAGTAGTGCCAATCCGTCCTAGACTATGAAAGAGCTTAATGAAGAAAAAGCTTGGAAAGTAAATTTTACTTGCCTTGTTGTATAATACCTAAGTCAAAAAGTAGTCATAGTATAGTTTAAAATTTTGGCATACTAAAATTTTGGATGAACTTAATCTAATGAAGTTTCTGTGTGTCAGCATACTTAAAACATACATCTAAGTGAAAAAATGATTTTGTAGCATATATAATAATGACTTTAAAATTTATATAATAATATAACTTTAAAACTAAATATATATTATTATATATATATTATATATATATATATATAATATATATTAAGTTTTAAAGTCGTGATAAACATAGGTAAAACTCATATAATCACTTAACTCAAAAATATATCAAAACCATCATCCCTAAATTTCTACTTTCATGCCCTGAGAAACCCTGTATGTACACTTCCTAAATGTAAACTTCCTAAATGTAACCACTATTCTAATTTTTAACACTGTGGTTTTGTTCTCAAATTTCATATTAATGAAATAATCCAATATGCATTCTGTGATGTCTTCATTTTGTGCAACATTAAATTCATGATATTAATGTTTTTGGTCTGTGTTCAACTATCTTTGGAAGAAAGTGCTATCTGTCTATCTGTGTCTATCAACTCTTTATTTTAAAGTCATATTTTATTAAATTAGCCAGGATACATGAAGCCTATGTTAATAAAAAAAGGTTAATAAAACACCTGAAAGAAGCTCAGTGAATAAACACATATTGTTTATTTCCCGTTTATGTAAAATCCCTGTAGGTTAGGTGAGTCTTCATAGCTATTGGCCTCCAAATGTGACTCGGAGATGCACACTGCTTAGATCTCATAGTTCTGACATTTCAATCTGTGGCCTTCACATTTGCTGCCAATGGAGAAGCAAAATGATATGGTTTGACTGTGTCCCTACCCAAATCTCATCTTAAATTATAGTTCCTGTAATCCCTTCATGTTGTGGGAGGGACCCAGTGGAGATAATTGAATCATGGAGGCAGTTTCGCCCCTGCTGTTCTCATGATGATGAGTTAGTTCTCATGAAATCTGATGATTTTATAAGGAGCTCCCCTGTTCTCTGGGGACTTATTCTTCTCTTTCCTGCTGCCATATGAAGAAGAATCTGTTTGCTTCCCCTTCCACCATGATTATAAGTTTCCTGAGTCTTCCCAGCCATGCTGAACTGTGAGAGGTTTAACCCTCTTTCCTTTATAAATTACCCATGTATTTGTATTCCTTTATAAATATACCCATGTACATTTGGGTATGTCTGTATTAGCAGCATGAGAATGGACTAATACAGTAAATTGGCACCAGTAGGGTGAGGTGCTGTTGTAAAGATACCCTAAACTGTGGAAGTGATTTGGGAACTACGTAAGAGGCAGAGGCTGGAATAATTTGGAGGGCTCAGAAGAAGATAGGAAAACGTAAGAAAGTTTGGAACTTCTTAGAGACTTGTAAATGGCTTTGACCAAAATGCTAATAGTCATATGGACAATACAGTCCAGGTAGAAGTGGTCTCAGATGGAGATGAGAAACTTGTTGAAAACTGGAGTAAAGGTGATGCTTTTTATGCTTTAACAAAGAGACTGGCTGCTTTTTGGCCCTGCCCTAGAGATCTATGGAACTTGAACTTAAGCGAGATGATTTATGGTATCTGGCAGAAGAAATTTCTAAGCAGCAAAGCATTCAAGAGGGAGCAGAGCATAAAAGTTTGAAAAATTTGCAGCCTGACAATGCGGTTGAAAAGAAAAACCCATTTTCTCGGGGTAAATTCAAATTGCTGCCAGCAGCAGCAATTTGCATAAGTAATGAGAAACCAAATGCTAATTGCCAGGACAATGGGGAAAATGTCTCCAGGGCATGCCAGAGACCATCCTGGCAGCCCCTTCCATCACAAGCCTAGAAACCTAGGAAGGAAAAATGGTTTCTTGGGCCAGTTCCAGGGCCCCCTGCTATTTGCAGCCTGGGAACTTGGTGCCCTGCATCCCAGATGCTCCAGCTGTGGCTAAAGGGGGCCAGGGTACAGCTCATGCAATGGCTTCATAGGGCGCAAGCCCCAAGCCTTGGCAGCTTTCACATAATGTTGGGCCTGTGGCTGCACAGAAGTTGAGAATTAAGGATTGGGAACCTTG